AGGAAACGTACCTTTAATTGAAATCATTTGTAAAGATTTTCACGCTAGTAGATTTTACATCCAAAAAAAAAATATAATTTCGTGATCATTGATTGTATCCTGAGGAGCCTGGGTGCTTAACTAGAAGCTCAAAAACATGTTTGTAGATTCTTTAGAGTAAAATTACAATGGAAACTATTTGTAGTGTAAGCGAATTTCTGGATCAAAGTTCTACTCATCGTCTTGTTAATGCCTTTGTAACTTCCCACCTTGATTACTGTAATGGACTATTAATCAATCTCCCTAGCTCTCATTTAGCCCCTCTTCAACATATTCAGAACACAACAGCTAGCCTCATCACGCGTACAAGAAAACATGAACACATCACACCGATCATTCGTTCTCTACACTGGCTCCCCCTCCAACAACGTATCAAATTTAAGATTCTCATGCTGACATACAAGGCCTTTCACAAACTTGCTCCCTCATATCTCTCGGCACTCATCTCTCCTAAAACCCGTACTTCATCTATGCGTCTCCGATCTTCATCCACAGCACATCTTCATCTGGCCCCAGGCCCTCGCACCCACACCTGCTATGGGAAACGAGCCTTTTCTGTCTGTGCCCCCCAACTTTGGAACAATCTTCCCCATGAAATACGCGAGTCCCCAATGTTAGAAACATTCAAGAGTAAACTTAAGACTTAAGACTTATATGTTCAATATGTAATGTAATGTAATCATATTTTGTTTGTTAAACTATAAAGCGTTATGTAAAGATTAACTATTATTATTGTATGATTATTATTAGGAATTTGTTATTATAATTATGTATCATGTATTATATTGTTGTAATTTGTAGGTTAACATTACTTTAATTTTATTTTTGTTAAGCGCTTAGAAACTTTGTATTAAGCGCTATATAAATGTTATATATTATATTATTATTATTTCTAAGTTTGGGTATTACTTTGTTCTACTTCGATACAAACATTCCTCGCCAAAATAATATACGAGCAAACTCAGACAGACATAATTATAACTGCAGTGAAAAAAAGGGAAACGATATTTTGGCTTCTGGTTATGACACTTTACCTGATATTCAGGTCCACCATCCTTTACAAGCATGATTTCAGATATATATATATCAGTTTATCATAATGTAATTCAGGAAATAAGTGAAACCCAAAAATGTAAATACCGAAATACATTTACGCATTTAGCTATAATTATGGTATGCTATAATTGTATCTAAGAGGGCTTCACCTTATGAATGACGTGGTCTGATTGACCACGTTGACGAGTACGAGGGATTATTTGAATATTCTTTGAAATTGTAAAAGCCATGAAATAGCTATATCATTATGACCACCTGATTATGACATCATGTAGAAAGGAGTCCTAAGGAGGCTCTCTATGTTAAGTTGAAGACAAAATCATCCCCTGACATTAAATTTGACGATTCTACAAATTAAACCTTGAACGCAACCTAACGAATTTTCTTCTCTAAATTAAAAACGTTGTGTTATGGAACTGAGTGTGTCTGTAGTAGTTTATATTTTATTTAAACGATATGTGTTTACTCATGGACCCTGGATTTCTTAACACACAGAGAGGGCGAGAGAGAGAGAGAGAGAGAGAGAGAGAGAGAAAAGACTAGGGTGATTGCCGTAAAACCACACAAATCTAGGCAAATAAGATATTTCATACGGCTGGGCTTGTTTTCAAGGGTGAAAGAAGAAAGAAACATTCTGAAAGGAAACGTACCTTGATCGAAATCAATTGTAATGATGTTCACGCTAGTAGGTTGACATTTTTTGTTAAATCATTTTATGATCACTGATTGTATCCTGAGGAGCGTGGGTGCTTAGCTAGAAGCTCCCCCCCCCCCCCCAAAAAAAAGGGGGGGGGGGGGTAGTGAGCACAATTTTTTTTATTTGTACCCGGAAATTTGAAAATCGCGCCGACCGATATTTCGCTCAGTTGGGGGGGGGGGGAGGGGTAGGAGCACTTTTTTCCCCTTTAGTAAAACAAAATTACTCTTAAATAAGATGCCAACGGCATTCAAACTATATAACATATTTATATACCCTAACCTTTAGGTCAATTTCGTCCCGCTAAGTCGATGATGTTATGAATTTATATATTTTTGTGTAAAAAACAAGGAAATGTGTTTCTTTCAAAACATCCTATTATATCAAAATCACTCAATGAATAAACACATTAATCTATTGGCTTGGTTCAAGTCTGCGTACCCAGGCCAAAAACAGTTGAAACCAACTGGTATCAACTAGAATCAACTGGTACAAGTTGAATCCATTTGAAGGAACTGGTATATATGCCAGTTTATTCTACTCACTGGATTCAACTGGTACCAGTTGAAACCAGTTGACACAACTGGTAAACTTCACACGCACCAGTATATCTCAGTTAAAACCCATTGATTCTATTGGCACATGCTGAAAACAAACCAGTCGATTCCCGTTGAAACCAATTAACCGTACTGGTATTAAATTGTTACACCAGTTGATACCAGTTAAAAACAATAGGCCTTACTGGTAAATCTACCAGTTGATTCCAGTTTTAAAACCCATGAAACCAAAGTGGACCATTTGAGACCAATTGTTTCCAAATGGAACATATTGAAACCCAGATGAGTTTAGTTTACCAGACGATTCCATATGAATGCCATTAACCATACTGGTATATCATTGGACCAGTTGATACCAGTTAAAATGAATGGGCCTTACTGGTAAACATACTAGTTCATTCCAGTTGCAACACAGTGGCCAAACTGGACCATTTGAAACCAGTTGATTCCAGTTGGAAACCAGTAGATGATTACCAGTTGATTTACCAGTTGAAAACCGGTATGATTACCAGTTGTTACCAGTTGAAAACCAGTAGATAATTACCAGTTAATTTACAAGTTGAAAACCAGTAAATGATTACTAGTTGGAAAGAGAGAAGAGGAAGAAGAAAAGAAAAGGGGAGAAAAGAAATAGATCGAGGGGGGGGGGGTGGCGGCCGAAAGGGCCTTGCCTCCCAGGCTACTACCCCCCTCCCCCATCAAAAAAAGAATAAGAAAGAAGAAAGAAAAGGGAAAGAAAAAAGGAAAAAGGGAGATAAAAGGAAGGGAAAAAAGAGGAAGAAGAAAACAAAAGAAGGGGAATATCATTTTCAATTTTCCCGCCAACAAGTTGTGAATCGAGGGGGTCCGAAAGGCCCTTGCCTCCCCCCCCCCCTGAAACATAAATGAGAGAGAAGGAAAAGAAGGGAAAGGGAAAGAGTAGTGAGAAAGGGAAAGGAAAAAAAAAGAGGAAGAAGAAGAAAAGAAAAGAAGGGGGAAATCAGTTGCGACTTTTTCCCGCCAACAAGGTGTAGTTCGGGGGGGGGGGGCACTGGCGTAATGAAGGGGGAGGGGAGGGGACTTGGGGGCAGTGCCCCCCCCCCCCCCCCCCCCCCCCCCCCCTTGGCAAGATATTGATCTACATTTGCCACAGTCCACCAAGGTGAAGTAAATAGTAGGAATTTATTCCTTGAAACGCAGAGCGCGGTACAGCTGCAATTATGCGGCATTAATGTAGAGCGCTTAGAGACTTCCAATAAAGTAAGTTATAGGCGCTATATTATCAGCAATAATAATTATGTTCATTATATTAATTCAAAAGTGGTTTATTTCTAATTCGATACCGGTGATTTACAAATTTTGCTAAAGTGACATAATTTTCCGAGATTTTTCCTCACTTGTTAGTAAACTATACTTTTAATGCGTTTGTTGCAAAATGACAAATTCCTAAATTTATAGTCAGGCAAGAAATATGCTTATCTAGAGGCCAATATGGCAGGGCCCGCGGAACGGCGGGGCTCGAGGGCCTCGAGCTCACCCCCCCCCCCAACTTTTTCTGAAAAAGTATATTACAGAGAAATAGAAAGAAAGACAGAGAGAAAAAAAGAATAGTGAAATTGCCAGTGTCAAAAAATAAAAATGATTTCCATAATCACCTCAACTAAGTTCAGGGTAAAATCTATTCTATTCTTTTTTTTAAGGATATAGTCTAAGAAAAAACCTACACCGTTAAACCGAGTGCCACCACCATCCAGCAAGGCACCATGATAGTAAACTTCTTTTGTGTATCTTTAAACCGAGATTTCCTTGGTTTCTTGATTTAGGAAAATATCAATTTGATATTGTTAAGTTGTTCGATAACGTCACTCAGACTTTTTTGATGCGAGAAATATTTCATTGATGAAACGGTATAAAGACAGGCGCTTAGCCAGGGGGCGATTGGGGTGGTCGCCCCCCCCCCCCCCCAACAAAAAAAAGCTCCAGGGACTCGGATCCACTTACACTTTTTACTCTGAAAAAACATTTCCTAACTTCCAAAATTGTATCCACCAAAGCGCGAGTTTAATGGATGTGTATGCATCTACATAAAAGACACCTAGGCCCAAATTTCCACCACAAAATTTTAAGTTTAACCCAATCACTTGAGGTTACGATGCGCGTATGTGTTTTCTTTGATTGTGCTCATTCGTAATGCGCGCTTAATTACGCCTGTTTTAGTGCGCTTTTGGATAATCTTCAGTGAAAGTGCGTTGCCCTGTGTAGATAGTACCTCTATATTCAGTGAAAGTGCGTTTCACTGTTCAGATAGTAGTACTATCTACACAGTGTAACGAACTTTTTGCTTATCCTATCAATAATGGGCGAACTATCTTTCATCACGTGATTTACTTTTGACCAATCGTAGAGCAAGATTCTTAGTATGTGGAATATAATATTTATCATAAGATAGTAAGAGTTTCTTGTTTGCTCTAGATGTCTGATGTGGTTAACAATAGTAATATTGACTGCCTAATTCAGGGCAATACGACTTGACATATATCACCCTCACCTTCGGTTTGGGCGATATATGTCGTATTGCCCTGAAGGCAGACAATATTAATGAAATATATATGTACAATATAAAAATGGAATGAAAAAAAAGATCTGGCATTTTTTCTTCATTTACCATTCAGATTGAAACTACCATGGAGGGCTACATCTTTCAAAACTGGGCCGAGACATTCTCCTGTAAGCCTGAGCTCTACTTTGAACCACAGGACACAGCAGAACTTACCCAGGTCAGTTTATCCACTAAAACAAAGGAAATAAAAAGTAATAAAGCATATCAAGCTTTATGCTTTCACTGTCACCCTCCTAAGGAGCAGACTATGCAACATATCCAAGGGAGTGTTTCACAAAGACTAAGATCGACTGTAAGTTGGACTTAACTATGGCAGGCCGTTCATGCCACTGTTTGCTCTCACCATTTACTGGCAATGGTCTATCAAGGGACGTACAAATCATGGTCACACATCTACAGAATTCAGCTTTTTTGATAGTTCATTATTGAAGGAAAAAATATTATCTAAAGACCATAAATGAGAGACCAATGGTGAGAGCAACCATTGGGCAGTGGCATAATTGGCCTGCCATATTTAAGTCCAACTTAAAGTCGATCTTAGTCTTTGTCAAACACCCCCCTGGCCTGCCCACATCTACCAGACCCTTGCACCAAAGAAGATCTGTAAGCATTGACCCCCCCCCCTCCCCCTCCCTGCGCAATATAATGCATCCAATAGGGACTTTTAGATTTGCGTGGACTGATACGTGTGACGTCCATTCAAGGCAGTGCATTAAAAGGACGTCGATCGTAGCAATCCCCATTGTCTTCGTGCGAATCTAAAAGTCCCTAATACTGGATTGGGACAATCTAATCAAGAGTGAACGGTGTGGCGTAGTGACTTGATCAGAAGAAGAAGCTCTCTTATATCATGTCCATTTGTAATAATGCATTCATTGTTTCTATTGCTGAACTGTATTTGGATAGATTGTATTGATCAATGATTGTGTATGTTTAAAAATGATTTAGCAGACAATCAATTAAATTATGAGTCAGTTGAAGTAAATTAATCAACCAATCAAATCATATCACATCAAACATTGCCCTCTTATACCATGCCTTATTCACAATATGCATTCACCGGTTCTGTGCCCGTACTGAAAGATAATGTGCCTGCAATTCGCATTCTGACAATTATACGCAACAGGTGGATGAAATATTTCGTTTCAAGGCAGTTCACAAAGACACATGCAATAAATTTGTTTACATTACGGAAATGGCATATTGGTCTAGACTCACTGCATGGCTGAGCGTGCAAATTTTTAATTGGGTACAAAGGCACACCTGTAAACTCAAAGTACTGAGTCACGTAATGATCCTTGTATCATTATGGTGAAAAGATGATCACTGAATATAATGTTTGAAAGATGATATAGCAATTAGTCAATAATAATAATAATAGTCACATTTGTATAGCGCTTAATGGTACGTTTTGACGCTTTTTCCATCATAATCTAGATTACCTCCGTCATTGGCTTCAATTGGTAATCTGCACATAATAGCGCACTTGCTCCGCTCCCTGGGAAGTATTCTGGCCAGGTGCCATTTAACAATGATGAATCAATCAAACTATGTAATCAATCAAATCACATCAAACATGGCTCTTTCTCATTTTTACTACGTTTTTAAGCGCTTCACATTATGATTATTATTACCATGGTCATTGGATTCGTTGTTAATCTGCACATGATAGGGCACACGCTCCGTTCCCCGGGGGCTAATTTTATTTTCTTCTGCGGCACAGATTGGGGCTTTTTTTTTAAGGGGTCTTGATTTAACCCTAACCCTTACCCTCACCCTAACCCTAAACTTTCCCATAGGCTCAACACGCACCTAATCCCAATCTGTGCCGCAGAAAAAATAACGCCCCCGGGGAGTAATCTGGTCAGGCGCCATCTTACATCAAACATAGCTCTTTCTCATTTGTGTGTAGATTGTTGAGCGAGCACGTACAGAAGGTAAACGGGTGAAGGTATGTGGTAGCAAGCACTCCCTGTCAGACATTGCATGTACGACCGGATACATGATCAACATGAAACACATCAACAAAGTGATATCGGTAAGCAGCTAAAGGAAGGTCCCTGTCAATTCTCTTCTATTCTCTCCAAAGAAACGATTTTTTTTTCTATAAATTCAAACTTAAGGCGAAAAAAATTAATAATTAGCGTCCCTGCCCGCTTCTATTTTGAGGCCATCTTGAAAAATGGCTCGGCCGGAGGTCATGGAAAATGTGCCGGGCAGCCATTTTGAGAAAGAAAACAAAAAAGGGCCTCCTTCTCCTTCCTTTTTTTTTCTTCAAAAAAGCAGGACGCTAAACATTTTATTTGGCCTAGAGGAAAATTGGAAAATGAGTCCATTTTTTCCAGTCTGGGAGGAATCAGGTTATTTGAGAAAAAATATTTAAATCAGCAAGAAATCTAAATTAGTACATGAAGAAGTTGGTCTATTATATCTTCGCCAATGTTCACTCAACAGATAATTCAGTATGAATTATTTGAGTGTGTAAATACCTCCTTTTTCGCTCTGTAACAAGATGACGACCATTCCTGGAATCAATATTCATGTCCACATGGTACATGGTAGCTCAAATTAGTGACGGTTATCGACACTGTCTTCTCTAATCAACATAGTGTTTTTACATGTAATAACCTACATTTATCTGTAAAGCTAATCATGAGCTCTGGTATGGGAATCGTATTTTGAGAAGAAAATGGCTAGGATTTATTCTTGATTGTTTATCCTTCAGTAGATTGATTCAAACCTGGGCATCATCTTCAATAAAAACCACAACTCCCATTTGCACATAGTGACTTGTGTTATAATAGCACATGGTGTCGGGCCTACTTCGCTTGATTTCCTTATCTTTCTATGCTCATTACTCAGCCATTATACATTTTCCACCGAATTCGTTTGGCACATGGATGCCATTTATTTGTTATATTGAACATTCAGTATAAGTTTCTTAGGATTCAATGCTTTAAGACTTATTTTTAAACTCATTACACATTTTTTCTTTGAACAACGGTTAGTTTTTTTTTTGTTTTTGTTTTTTTTTTAAAGCCGACCGTATATTTCAAGATTTATTGGTCGGTCGCAAAGGGCAATACAACTTACACTATGAACATGACTGACAAAGAAAGCGGACAAAAAAAAACAGTTCCTCAGGTAGACAAAGAATCATCCCTTCACTGCTATTATGTACAAATGTGTAGAACAAGTGTCACATGCATATTTACCTTTTTACATAATAGCAGTGAAGGGATGTTCCTTTGTCTACCCGAGGAACTGTATATTTTGTCCGCTTTCTTTGTCGTCATGTTCATAGTGTTATTTATGTAACCCCTAAGCATGCTTAGCTCGGCCACTTTTATACGGGTCACTTTCTTTCTGGCTGCTCCCTACCAAGCAACTTTTACATTGTTGTACCTACAGTACATGTATGTTCTATTCTTGTTATGTATAATGTACAGTGTATACTGTATGTATATATATGCTATTTTTTAATTGCTTGGGTGTAAAAGAAATTGAATTGAATGACTTTTCTCCCACAGGTTGACGTTGATAAACATCAGATTCGAGTAGAAGCCGGTGTCCTACTGGAGAAGCTGAATACAGAAATTCTTCCAAGCTATGGACTTGCTCTTAGTCTGTAAGTGATATAATGTACATGTACACACAATTCAATCAGCAACTTTCACACTTATGAAATGCTTGTGAATTTTGCACGTGGTTCAGACTGGCAATAGGCCATTTTGTAATGTTATCAAATGTAATGCACAAATCTTTGTTAAGTGCCTCTTTACAAATGATTTCATTCACCTGTTAAAAATAATTGTATTTCAATTTTCAATAGTCAGAATGCGAATGGTATATACAATATGTGTTGTTAGGTGAAACAAGCCACAATGTTTGTCCTACCTAGCAACAACTAGTGTATGCAATTCGCATTCTGACGAAAACAAGTTCGCTTTGTACATCCCAGTAGTACATGTGTGATAAAACTCAAACACGCTTCAATAGGATGATGGTAAACTTAAATTTATGACGGTGTCATGAAACAATGCCCAGAATATTGCACTTCATTTTAGGGGTGTTTAGTTGCGCATCATCGACAGATCCCTTGCCCTGTAGCATGTTATGGGCGGCCAAAAGGGCAAAAATTAACATTCTCTAAAACAAACAAAGATGCATACAAACAAACAAAGAAGCATACAAACAAACAAAGGTCAGAGCAAACTTTGTTTGTTTTTGTGAATGTTAATTTTGGCCCTTTTGACCGCCCAGAGCATATACAGTAACAATCAGTAGTTTTAACCCAAATTTATTGGTACTTCCTTCAATCAATCTTTTCAATCAGTCATAACTGGCAATTGGTTTTATTTTCAAGAAAGATACAATTAGTTGTGAAATACAATCATTTGTCGCAAAGATATACATACATGGTTAGATTTTAACAATACATTTATTGTACATGTAAGTCTGTTTTTACTTTGCATTGTACATGACCAGCATGAAGATTCAATACAACTTGATTACTATAAGGATAAACACTTACAAATACAGTTTTTACCCAAGGACTATCCAAGTATGGAACAAATCGTTTTGGTTTTCTTCTTTCTTATCTGTTTTGAGCTCGTTTTTGTTCCTGGGCATGTTATCTCTTTTCTTTTTGTTTCCAAGTCTTTGTTTTAAAGTTCAAAGTAATGAAGAAAAAAAAACATTGATAATAAAATGTTTGTCTTACTCGAGATGTGACGTTCAGAATGCTTGACAAGATACCAAACGTTCTACCGAGAATCGACGGAAAAGTGGACAAAAACCCCAAAATTACCTTTTCTATTTCGTAGTATTGCTCTAAGAGTTCTTACTTTTTTCTTTCCTGCATTCCACAGACTTGCAGCTATCTCTGAGCAAACAATAGCTGGCGCTATTTCAACCGGTACCCACGGGACGGGGTACAATCACGGTATCATGGCAACAAAGGTAAACAATGAGAAAACCACTTATATGTTTCCAGGCACAATATATTTTCAGAATCATATATGTCCCCTGAATTATTAAATTATGTTTATGTTAATTGAATTGTTCTTAGGCATGTTCAGATTTGTATTGAATGGTGTGGTGATAATGTCATTCATTGTAAGATTATTTTATAAGGAAAAGGGTGTGTGTTCTTTTTTTTAGGGAGGATAGGAAAAATGTTATAGACTTTATCATATTGTGAAATTGTAATTTTGCTTTTGATGACAACGGAAGAAAATTGGAGCTGCACTGTATGTCAATGGTTATCCTTTGACTAAAGCTTGTGTGATGAAAGGAGTACCATATATATGCTCACCATTTGATTAGAATGTTGGAGATGGAAACAAATATGAAAATGAGGCATAATTCCTTAATTTCCTTTATCAAGTAACATTGTATCTTTACAAGAATTCTTGAAGCAATGTTTCAGTTCAGTTCAGTTCAGTTCAGTTATTCATTTCATTTTCATAAAAAACGCAGCAAAAGCAAATAAACAAAGAAGTAGATATATACATACTAAAGCACAACATGTTCACTTTATACAAAATAAATGCAATGGAATAGGAGAACAAAGGAAAATCCAATGGTGGCCTTGTTTTAAAAAGTTTCCCTGAATATTATAATTTATATTACTAAGATTAGTTAAAGATAACACAAAAGACAGCGATAAACACAATATCAAGACAACCAATGACAAAAACATGTGTGAAATAATGTAAAAGTGGAGGGGGTAAAAAGGTTTGGAAGGTAACTTCAATGGTACTCAGAATACAAGGTCGCTATCATTTGTTTTTTAAAACGTTGAACTGTTTTTATGCAAGCGTATGACTTGTGGTTAAGTGTTCCATATGTTTGGCAAAGTGTTTCTTACAGATGTTTTTAGAGAATGAATTTTTCACTTTCCATATTATGGAACATGTTGCGAAGCCAAGTATTATGAGAATGAATTTGGTTATTGACCAAGAATGTGGAGGATATTCTTTTTGGAAGTATATTTACAAAAAATTGAAAACCAATTAGTGCATTATGGTATTTGAATAAATCAAAAACCTACAGTTTTTATACTAAGAAATAAAGGAGCAGAATGGGCATAATAATCACTACCTGTACTTATATATAGAGCCGCCTTTTGTAATTTGAAGAGGGTGTTAATACACCCATGACACGACTTTCCCCAAATAGTAATACAATATGTCAGATAAGGTAAAGTGAGTTGTACAAAGTAAATACAATAGGAAATGGTACCAGAAATTTCAATTTATATAAAACACCAGTACATTTTGATACCTTTTTATAACATTATCGATGTGGGAATCCCAAGGAAGGTTGTTATCTACGATACGGATACTCCAAGGAAATTATTAAAACATTTAATTTTTGTATACCGGTAGGTGTAGTATCAATACTTAGGGTTACCTTATCTAGTAACTAAACTAAATTACGGTAAACGATCACTTGTCTATCGGGGTTCAAAGCTGTGGAATTCACTTAGTACCATCGCTCAATCAATAGTCTCAATTCAAGCATTTAAACACTTCCTTCAGAGTAACCCCATCAGATGATTTGTTTTATTATGTTTTGATTGTTTTATACGCAACAATTTTATATTTTGTTTTCTCTCTCGCCTCTCTATTCCTTGTTTCTTTTTTTCCCTATCCTGCACATTTCTGTTTTTCTTAATGTATATATAATGATTTGTTTTTGTTTTGTTTGCTTGTTTATCATTGTAATCATATCTCAAATGTATTTTATCAACAATTTGTATTTTTATCTTGTGGATGGACCCCTTTGAAGACCAGCTTTTAGCTGAAAAGGGTGATCCTTCCCATATGTGGAAAATAAATAAATAAAATTAAAAAAATAGTATATCGGACACATTTGTACTTTTATTGTGAAATATACAAAAGCTTGTTTTAGAAAGATTTACTATCAATTTATTAGCTTTGAACCAAGTTGATACCTTGTATTATTCTTTGTTGACCTCATGCTCAACATAATTTAAATCAGGTTGTGAAAATAAGAGTTGTGTCATCTGCATACATAATATACTGCATGATATGAGACGGTTGAGTTAAGTAATTAATATATACATAAAAGTAATGGGCCAAGTATAGATCCCTGGGGAACTCTGTGTGTTATGTCTGCAAAATTAAAAACATGATTATTATACATAGTAAATTGACGTCGATGCATAAATAACCCTTTTTTTTTTTAAATGAAGAAGGTTTCCATGTACACCATAAAAAATCAATTTGGATAAGAGAATTACTACATCAAATGCTTTTGATAAATCCATAAATATTCCAATACAAAAGTCATTGTTTTCCATTGATAATGTTATCCTGCAAATCAATCAAAGCATGTTTGTGGAATGATTACGTCGAAATCCAAATTGGCAAAGTAGATTGTTGTAGAAATTAGGTAACCCTTTGTATGCCATTTCCTGATGTAGTTGATTCAAACCTAATCCAGAGATGCGAACCGGTACGATAATAAGAGTGAAATACGACAATACAATATCACCTCTTAAAAACCCATAAAAACAGCGGAATCGCATAGAAACATGTACAATTAACCCCCCGCAACCCCAACAAAACCTTAGCTTTACAATTTTCTCATTTAATTTTAATGAAAGAGCAAACATTTTACTTGACTTTACTTACCAGTAAAACATTTTTCTAAAATTTTACTGGCCTCGGGCCGACGGGCCAGCGGTAGTGTCGAGTTTCTGATTTGTTTAGGATACTCAGTTTGTTTGTTTGTTTCAAGAGGTTGGCTTCTCTGCTAATCAGTAAATAAAAAGTCCCCTTCAAGCTGTCTTAGAAGTAATACACCTCATTTTCTTCTGCGCTTCAGATTGTCAGCTTGGAGCTGTTGACTGGAAGCGGAGAAGTCCTGCAGTGTTCAGACTCTGAGAACCCAGACGTTTTCAACGCTGCATTATGCGGGTTAGGAGCACTTGGTATTATTCTCACAGTAACTATCCAGTGTGAACCAGCCTTCAGGCTTCATGAGATTCAGACTTCTACTACATTGGATGATGTAAGTTATGATGATGATGAGGATGATGTTGATGATTGTGATGTAAGTAGTTATGATGATGATGGTGACAATGATGGTTATGGCGATGATTGTGATGTAGGTAGTTATGATGATGATGGTGACAATGATGGTTATGGTGATGATTGTGATGTAGGTAGTTATGATGATGGTGATTATGATGATCATGATGATGGTGATGATGATCAAGATGTTCAAATGATGATAGTGGCGGGGTGGATCGTGTTGGCCACAGTAATGATGATGAAGATTGTGATGTAGGTAGTTATGATGATGATGGTGACGGTGACGGTTAGGCCTAAACAAAAAAGATGTTGTATTGCCCAAAACATGGCTCGGTCGGTCGGAAATCTTTTTTTTTTCTCCCTCTTTGGGCTGATATTTCTCCGTTTCGAATGCATTAATTTTTTTTCTCACCCTCTTTGGGCTGATGTTTCTCAGTTTTGAATGCTTTAATACATGTGTTTCAGCGACATCATTCCATTCATATCTTTTCACCTAATAATAATCCATGGATTACAATGTTGTAATTAGACAACACTCTGTGCTTCCCGGCTGACGAAGTTGGTTTTCAACTACCTGTAAAACTTGTAAATGTATCCACAAATTCTAAATTTATGAAATCTTATATCTATGCCCCTTTCTTCACGGTTTTACGTAAATTTTCAACGTTTTTTAGGCCTTCAAAATGTGTCATAAATAAAGTGTTTTGAGCCTTTCCGTCGAAAACGCTATACAGCGACCGTCGCCCAAAAAACTAAAAACCGGGAATATCGCCTAAATTTCGCTGGTTTCTAGCTGGTGTAATGCATGGTATATACACGTACACAAGGCCGGAGTCTACTTGCATGTTTACGCTAGCAGGATTTGGAAAACAAGGCAGAAGACGAGTGAAAATTTGGGAAGAATTTTTAAATAAAAAATTAAAAGCCGACAGCAGATTTCAAGATTTTGGGATCGGTCTCAATGGGCAATACAACATCTTATTTTTGAATGCCTTATTATGATGTAGATGATAATGGTAATGATGTTGATGATTGTGATGAAGGTGGTGATGATGACGATAATGATGATGATAATAGCTAAGGGGATGTTGGTGATGAAGGTCATGATGGTAATAGTTAAGGGGATGATGGTGTTGATTATGGTGGTGGTGGCAATGATGGTAATAATGGTGATTATGGTGATGATGATAATGTTGATGGTGAGGATGATGATGATGTCATTGGTGATCACGGTGGCTATGATGGCGATTTAATGATATGGATAATGATAGTGGTGCAGGTGATGATGCTGATTGTTATAGCGATGATTAAGAATGATGATGGTAATGTTCCTAATGGTTATGGGGATAAGGAAAATTGAGGAGGAGGATTTTGATGATGATGATGAAAGCTGTAATGATGATGAAAATGGTAATCGTGATGGTGATGACAGCTATGCACTGGCGTACCTATGGGGGGGGGGGGGCAGGGGGGCAGAGTGCCCCCCCTGACGGGCTCCAGGGGAAAAAAGGGAAAGGAAAGAAAAAGAAAAAAGGAAAAGGAAAGAAAAAAGGAAAGAAAGAAAAAAAAGGAAAAAAAGGAAAGAAAAAAGGAAGAAGAAGAGAAAAGGAAGAAAAAGGGAAAAGAAAAGGAAAGGAATAAAAATGGGGAAAAAAAAAAGAACATGGCCGTAAGCACCGGGGGGGGGGGGGGGGCAGTTGACCCCAGATATTTTGAAATCGTACAGTTTTTTTCCTGAAAATGTAGTGTAGGCCTATACCAAATTCTTCAATTCTACCTTTGAAAATGCAAAAGTACCCTCATGACCAGTTCGGTCGCTCGAACTCCCTTTACTCCTTTCCCTTTAGAGATTCTTCGAAAACTTTTAACGCATCTTTCCCCCTTCCCCCATCAGAAAAATATTCCGCATACGGCCCTGAAAAATTAAAACAAATGAAAATAGGAAAATATAAGTGATATAACAAATTTGAAACTCTTCGCTGGCGCGAACTGCTTGCTAGCCTATTTTGTATTAAATGTTTTCACTTCCTCGTCCCCCTGAAAAAAGAAAAGGATTAGTATTGCCTAGAATACAATTGTGCCTGCCCCGACGGGCCCCGACCTGCAACCATGGCAACAATAACACACAATATATGTACCAAATGTTACTAAAAGAGACTAATTCATTTTTCTCGCTCGCTACACTCGCTCGCGAATAAAATGAATAGACATTGCTTTGGAACCAATTGTGCCCACCCTTGACCTGCAACAATATCATTAAAAATGGAAGAGTTTTTTCGCCCTCTCGCCAAAAAGGACTTGAATCGCGTTAAACGCGATTGCGTCCATCCTGACCTGCACCAATAAAAACAAGTTTATTTATTAATTTCTATTAAAAGAGAATTTATTTTTTTTGCTTGCTCGCTATGCTCGCTCGCCAAAATGGAATTGACACCGCTAACGTGCCCGCCCCAACCTGCAACAACCAGTTAATAATTATGTACGAAACGTTATTCAAAGAAGTTTTGGTGTGCTCGTGCTCGCCAAAACGGAATTAACATCACCTTAGACATGATTGTGTAAGCCCTGCCCTGCAACAAAAAAATCTGAAATTTATGAACCAATTATCATTACAAAAATTTTGCTCGCTCGCTTCGCTCGCTCGCCAAAATAGAAATAACACCGCTTTTAATAATCACGTCCCTGACATGGAACAATTAAACCAAGTTTATATACCATATTTTCCCTATAAAGAGAAGTGATTTTTTTTGCTCGCTCGCTACGCTCGCTCGCCAAAATAGAATTAACACCGCTTTTAATAATCACGTCCCTGACATGGAACAATGAACCCAAGTTTTATGTACCATATTTTCCCTATAAAAGAAAAGTGATTTTTTTTTCGCTCGCTACGCTCGCTAGCTCGTGGAATTATGTGCCCACCACTAACCTGCTACAATATCATTAAAAAGAGAAATGTAGGGGGTTGCCTGCCCGCCAAAATGGGATTGACATTGCCTTAAACACGATTGTGCCCGCCCCCTACCTGCAACAATGAAACAAATTTTATATAGCAATTCATTGAGAGAAAGATGTATTTTCGCTCGCTAGCTAAAATGGGTATAAAATCACCCTAAACACAATATTGTTCCCGCGCCCTGCATGGGACAATTGAACCAAGTTTAAGTGGCAATTATTAAAAAAGAAGTGATTTTTTTTCTTGCTCGCTACACTAATTTGCAAAAAAATGAAATTAACGTCGCTAACAAATGAATGTTCCCACCCCCAACTTGCAACAATACCAGTTTATATACCAAACGTTACTTAAAGATTTTTTTTTGCTCGCTCGCTCGCCAGAAGTGAAAATTAGCATCGCCTTTTTTGTTTGTTTCGGTCGCTTGCCCCCCCTGACGGAGTACCCCAGGTACGCCACTGCAGCTATGGTGATGATGTTGGTGATAATGATGATGATGAGAGGAAGTGGAGAATTTTGACGATTATAATCTTTATTTGGATTAGAAAGATATATGAAGGGTTTCCTTATTGGTGTTACCACTGCGACATATAAAATACACGTAGTATTGATAATTGGTGATATTTTTCTGACATTTCCTTTAAACAGGTCCTAGATAATTTGGATTCCAACGTGGAGGGCTGTGAGCATTTCCGTTTTCAGTGGTATCCCCATACCGATATGGTATCACTGTCAAAGGTAAACCGAACTGAGAAGAGAATCACAGAAACAAGATCGTCATGGTTTTGGGACAAGTTCGTGGGCTACTACGCTCTTGAGTTCTCGTTTTGGCTCAGGTAATTTACTAAAAGTTATGATTCTCTTTCTAGTTCCTAATAGATTGCGGCATTCTTTGGGATTCCTGCAACTCTTAGGCCTTATTCCCACATGAAACCCGACACTTGAAGGTCAATCTGAGGTATAAGTTTTCAGATCAGTTTTAGATTTATATTTCATCTAAATCCCAATTTACTTAACTTTCTAAAGCCTTTAGCAGATGTGTGTAAACTTTCGCTGATCTCATCGTTGCATTTTTGTATTATAAGTTGAGGACAAGGCCATTGTTTTGCTCAAAACAATTCTTCCGTCAATAGGCTATTTTCGTAATGTAACCAAGTTTAATGCATAAGTCTTTGTAAAGTGCCTCAATACAAATTATTTTATTCACCTGATAAGAATAATAGTATTTCAATAGACAGAATCCGAACTGCATACATTAGTTGTTGCCAGGTTGGACAAACATTTTGGCTTGACCTACCTAGCAACACTTAATATATGCAGTTGCATTCTGACAATTGACATACTATTATTCCTATCAGGTGAATGAAATAATTTGTATTGAGGCACTTCACAAATACGTATGCATTCAATTTGGTTACATTACGAAACTGGCCTATTGATGCCAATTTCCACTTTAAAGCAAAATGATATTATCGTAGTGCGATTCACATTTCTGTGTCATAACACAAAGGTCACCGGGCATGTTAAATTGACTCGGTAACATTGTTGAAGGTTGATGAAAAAAACTGCCTAATTTTTGTATGAAATGTTACTTATTATATTCCTTCCACTGTACTGATCCTCTAACATGCCAAAAATCCTGAAAAATTCTCAAACCACAAAGATATTTATGGTTTTCTTTGAAGGCGTCAATGTGTAACTCCCTCTGACAGAAAATTCTCCAAACCAATTTTTTTCGAATTATCCCAACCGTTTTTCCATGAAAATAAGACATAAAACAGGCCTTTTAAGATCTTCAACACTTAAATGTTTGGAATGGTAGATAGAGCCAATCTATTGCTTCGTGACGATTTACATTCGCCTAAAATTATAATAATATAGCTGGGAGAATTTAGGAATTGATCAGATCAGTTTTTCGCAATTGTTATCATTATCATTAATAATGGTCTGATTCACTCATAATTTCAGATTATCTTTAATTGTACATCTAGGATTGAAGTTACTGCCTTAGCACCATATTTCTTTCATCTGAACAATGTTACCAAGTCCCTCTAAGGAATCCTGGGTACACACAGTTATTTATTTTGTGTACACCTTCACAAAAGTGCCTCATGTTATTAATTGACTCATATTCTACAGCAGGTTTTTTTTTTGTCAATCTGTTTGTTTTTGTTTTCGATGGTTTTCACCGCATCGTGTCCATACTGGGCTATATTGATCTAATCTTGATCATGCCAATAAAGATGATTTCTTTCTTTCTTTTTCATTCATTTTTTTTTTCTCATTTCAGTTTGTTTGTACCTTCCCTTGTCCCATGGATCAACAAAATATATTTCTTAATCTTTGCTAAGCCAATAAATTGCTTTGCCAAAAAAGAGGATTTGTTTCTTTCTTTTTCATTCATTTCTTTTCTTCTTCATTTCAGTGACTTCATACCTTCCCTTGTCCCATGGATCAACAAATTATATTTCTTAATCTTTGCATCACCAATAAATTGCTTTGCCCAAAAATATGATTTATTTCTTTCTTTTTCATTCATTTCTTTTCTTCTTCATTTCAGTTTGTTTGTACCTTCTCTTGTTCCATGGATCAACAGATTATTTTTCTTAATCTTCGCATCGCTACCGAAAGAAAGAGTTGACATCAGTCACAAGGTGTTCAACTTTGAATGTCTTTTCAAGTCACACGTGACAGATTGGGCTATTCCAAGGTAATCTTTGTGATCATTCAGTTTTCTATTTGTAAATTGGCAACACCAATATTTTTTTTTAAATCCTGCATTAAAAAAATTTGGTTTTTGATTGGTTGAGAGCTCGTCACGTGCCAAGAACAATTTGAACTATTTTAAGGTTACTTTGAAAAAGTACTATTTGGGAGTACTATTTGGGAGGAGAAGTACTATGAGAGTATTATTTGGGAGTTGACATTTTTTGAGGATTTAAAACAAATATTATTTATTGAGTGATTAATCAATTTATTGGTTCATTTATGGATTAATTGAATAATTGATTCATTGATTGAATTATTTATTTTCCAATTCATATATTCTTAAAGGTAAAGACCAGTATTGGAAACGCCCCAATTTCAAAAAAATGAAATGGAAGCTCTTTTTACCAAGCATGTGAAAGAATATGTTTTGAATAATACATGATGATAAAAAAATTACCGGGAAACCGCCTACTAATTGATATATTTGGTAAATTAGTTTATCTCTCACAGTGTGAGAGATAAAAAAAAAAAAAAGGCACGTGTCGCGCACGTGTGCGTAGTCCCATATACATCTTTCTGTGTACAGTGCTTGTAACTTTATGAACACTGAGCCAAATTTCTTATAATTTTGATGATTCCAGAACCTTGCAGTACATCTATGCTAGATGATCAACCTTTTCTGATCGATTTCACAACATTTCTTTCACAATGCAATCGCATGACCATAACTGGTCTTTATCTTTAATGTAGTTAGTTTCTTTTTGTTTTTTGAGGGAGAGGGACTGTTTAGTCAAAGCATGTAATGGCTAGAGGATGAATTGGCTGATAGTTTTCTTTGGATTGTATGTAGACAAATTAGAATGCCCATTTAAAAGTACTATTTGCAGCCAACATAAATTCTGTATCATTATGGTTGAAGCATGAGCTAAATCCAGGATTTTGTTTCGAATCTGAGACAAAAGTACCCAATCCCTTTTATAATTGTACCCAGAAACAAGACCGGGGAAGTTCTGAGGGAGCTGAGGCATCACGCCAATACAGGACGATTCTATGCTCACTTGTCCACAGAGGTCCGATTCACCAAGGCTGATGACATCATGATCAGTCCAGCCAATGGGAGAGAGACCTGCTACATCAACATCATTCATTTTAAGTATGCAACGTTTTATCCCTTTGCGACAATCATTCCACATTCTGTGGTTTGGCTCAGAGCTCCCCCCCCTCCCCACCATGAGGTCAAGGTCAAAGGTCATGGGGCTCATTATGTATGCAAAAATAGCTTGTGATCGCATTATTATTAAAACCGATGGGTGGATTACCATCAAACTCAAGACATGTACATGTACATGTATGTATCTTGCAGAGCCAATGAACGGAGTAGATTTTGGGGTCATGAGGTCAAAGATGAAAGGGTCATACATGTATATGAAGAAAAGCTTGTAATCACGATATTCTGAGAACCTGTTAATGGATACCAATTGAACTTGAATTTGAAAATTTTCTTCTGTTTTGGTGTGTAAAATTGCTCTATGACGGAGTTTTCTTCTTCTTCCAGACCTTATGGAAGACCAACATTCAACAAGAAATACTGGGATGTGTATGAGGACATTGTAAAGAGAGCAGGCGGTCGACCACATTGGGCTAAGGTAAGAACAAAGGCTTCATGAAAATCGTTATCAATAACACGATTTTGAAATAGCAAGGTACGATAGGTCTTAGAAGCTACTGAAATTGGGGCATCGGATTGGCTGAGAGCAAATTTGTCATAAAATTTTACCATTTGTTATATTTTTTATAAAAACATATATTGACTGCTTTTGAGGGAAGCACTTTTTGGAATAACAGCTAAAACTGTTACCCAAGGTGATCTCAAAACTGTAGGGTGACCCGAGACGAAGCAGAGGAGCAAAGTGCAGTCTTGAGAACTATAGTTTTAAATGTGACCTCCAAAAAGATCAGTCAATATTTGTTTGATATACTGTATCCCGCATTTTAACTCGCAAGAATAAATTGTAATAAAAAATGGCTGTCAAAATGAGCATTTGTAGGAAATTTACTCGTTTAACCCTATATAGCAGGGGGGGGGGGCTTTAAAAGTCCCCCTCTACATTTTTCGCGATATTTTTTTAACGCACAAGGATCTTGCGCTGAAATGTTTTGTTTTTCTTTCGAGTCTTGCGCATCTTTTGAATCAAACTTTTTGGAAATCAGACCTACCGTTACAAAGTCACAATGTCAGTTACAATGTCAGTCCGAAAATCGCTCATTTTCGTGATTTGCGTACAAAACTATCAAAAATATAATTTTCCCAAAAAATATTGTCTTCATAATGATGCACATAAACCTAGCTTTGTCGACAAACCTCCTTTGTGAATTCAGGCCGCAAGGTCTAGGTATACATGTATATAAAAAAATATTGAGATGATCAGCATTTATGTTCTTTTTTAAAATTTATTTTATTGCAGGAACACCCTATGAGGAACAAGGATTTATCAGAGCTCTATCCAAGATGGTCTGAGTTCTGTGGTCTGCGTAAGAAGCTGGACCCTTTCGGCATGTTCCTCAACACGTATCTGGAGCGGGTCTTATCAGACTAACATGGTCCTGAGTTATATGAAGCAGGGTTGTTCATAAACAAACAAATAATGAACATATGAACCTGAAACTTGGAAGGGCTATTGGAAAATTCCTTCTACTCATTTTCACAGTTTGTTTAAAGACACACTGTCCAACTTGTAGCTCCTTGCTCCCTCTATATAGAAAACTTCCCCAATCGGTGCCTGTTGGTCCTCCATGATCCTCTTCTTCTTATGTTAAATGAGAGCTGAGTTAATGAGATAGCCACCTGTCACAGTGACCTCGCTGGCTCGCTGGGTGGTCTAATCCCTTTTGGCTAAAGTAGTAAACCCTGCCTTTAAATTCATTTAACATAATGCTCATGATTTGTATATTTTAAACTGTCTGTATTTTATCACATGTATATATTTGTTCGCTTTTTAACTGAAATAAAGTCTTTTGAATTGAATTTAATTGGAACAAGGATTTATGAGAACGCTACCCAAGATGGTCTGAAAAAGAGGTTTGGTCCTTGCAGCATGCATGTTCCTCAGCACGTATCTGGAGCTGGTCTTCTCAGACTAACATGGTCGCGAATCATACGAAGCAGGGTAGTCCATAAACAAACAAATAATGAATATTTGAATCTGAAACTTGGAAGGGTTATGAGAAACATAGATTTTTCAGAACGCTACCCAAGATGGTCTGGGTTATGCGGTCTGCGACTAATATGATTGTGAGTTATATAAAACGGGGTAGTCCATAAACAAACAAAAATTGAAACATATGAACCTGGAACTTGGAAGGACAATGAGGAACATAGATTTATCAGAACGCTACCCAAGATGGTCTTGGTTATGTGGTCTGCGACCAGGGGCGGCGATTTCTTTTCATGACCCGGGGGGGGGGGGGGGGGGACGAAATGCGAGGAAAAATTTGTATTCCGTTGGTATCACCAGTGGCGTAATGACCAAACCCCCCTTTTTTTTGGAGGGGGGGGGGGGAGAAAAAAATACGCGTCACCACCACTCATACGCGTTACATGCAATACGTTCTGATGAGCATATTTTTGACACCTTATTAGCGAAACTGGCAGGTCATTAATTGTGGGGTTCAGGGGGCTGAGCCTCATGAAGCTCAGGGGCTTTAGGCAATAAATTACCGTCAGATGAGCATTCAGGGGCCCACCCTGGGCCCTTAGTGAGGTCCAGAGCCCCCGGAAGCTGGGGGTTTGGGCAGTTAATTACAGTTTGATACCTTATTTGTGACACTTGAAGGACAATAATTGCCGTGGGATCCAGAAGGCGGAGGCTCCAAAATTTCAAGGGTTTAAGCATTAAATCACGGTCAGATGAGCATCCAGGGTCCCGTCATATGGCCCTGGAGGGGTCCCGGGGCCACACGCTCAGAAGTTTCAGGCCTTTAATTAAGGTCAGATTAGCATATTTTGAAACCTTATTGTGACACTGGCAGGCCACGTACTATTCTTTCTTTCTATTTATCTTTGACATACTTTTACAAAATAGTGGGGGAGGGGGGCTCGGGCCCCCTAACCTTCCGTATCGTGAGTCCTGACATGTAGGCTTCTTAATAAGCATAATGTTTTGCCTGACTGTAAATTTGGGGACTTTTCATTGTCCAACAAACGCAAAAAACCCCGTATAATTTACACAAAAGTGAGGAAACATCACGAAATCATGTCATTTAAGCAGCATTTGTAAATCACGGGTATCGAATAAGAAATAAAACAAGTTAAAGTTTTATTTTGATTGGGGGGGGGGGCGGCATTTGCCCCCCATCAGTACGTAAGTGGGTATCACGGTGATACCAACGGAATACAGGTTTTCTACATTATTTACTTGTACATTCTAAAGGATATTATGCGAGGTCGCGTAGCGACCGAGCTAGAAGATTTTTGCATTTTTATTAGTCTAAACGCTGCACTCTTGGGCACTCCGGAGCCTAAAAGTGTGTTGCCATCTTTAGTATGTATTCGCTTTACATTTTCTTTATGCACTTTTTCAAATTTCAGGGGGGGGGGGGCGATCCCCCCTAAAAAAATTGAGTGGGGGGGGGGGGGACGTGTCCCCCCGTCCCCCGGGATCGCCGCCCCTGTCTGCGACTAATATGATTGTGAGTTACATGAAACGGGGTAGTCCATGAACAAACAGGGTATATGACGAGGTGTGGCAAAAACCTTAGACAAGTTTAAAGGAGTCTGCAGTGGTTCGGTGTAATATCATTGTTATTATTCCAATATCATGAGAATCTTTTTTGCACAATCTTAGGTTATATTCTTAATGGTAAGATATCATTTTGTACTGGTGGCTCTTTTTTAGAGTGTATTGCTACTTCCAGTTTGTCTACTTTACAATTGGGCTATTTACATATGGTCTACACCCATAGGTCTAATAATCATTTAATCATGAATGATTATAACATGTATATGTTGTGCAGTGCCAGGAGTGTCTAGTCTGACAGATATGAGCGCCATGATTATTATTATTATTACATGTGCATAGATGTAATGCTTGCTTGGCTCTCAATCAAATTTACTTTCCGATGTATTCTGATTATTTTTTGTTGTTGTAATTGTATAATTTTTACTATATTTAATGCTATTAAGTATTTTGGTCATTGCGATTAATGTGCAAATTAAAATCAGGTTATACTTACTGATTATAAGTGCACTTTTGGGGTATTTCTATATGAAGACAATATTTATCATAGTATGTAATCATTATGACAATCGTGTAAATGTTCATGTTTTATCCTCTGTAGAGGTTTTGATTCAATGTTTTCCTTTTTGTAATATTTGAGTAATTGAGTTACAGAATTGTGGGTATTGTCTAAAAGTGGTTAAATTTTCTTGAGCACGATGTTTACCTTCTGAATTTAGAATATGCAATGATTTCATCCTCAGAAACTTGGTTTGATCAAAGTGATATTATTATGATTGTAAATATGCACTTTCTTATGCAATGTCACCCCAGTAAGGGGTACTTTGAACATGGTACCATGTTGTACTAGCAGTTGTATGTTTCTAACCATGGTTCAGTATTGGCTGTATTGTTATATCATGGTACATGTATTTTTCTCCTTTTGTTTGCAATTAATTTGAATATCCATCATGGGGGAAAAAATGTTTTGTTTGTTTGATTGATTTTATTTCTGTTTTCATATAACAAATACGAGGTTATACATGTCTACATAAGTATTACATAGATAGCAAATCATGCCTAATAATATTATACAATAACCATTGTTAGTATACAATTGATGCGCAGGTATATGTGGGTCGATAGGAATCGTTTGTAATGTAACTTTGGTCATGGTCTAAACACACTAGGCGTAGCCGAGTTTGTTTTAGACCTGCCCAAAGTTACCGCGTAGACTAAAAAGTGATCAGGACAAAAATATGAAGGGGTCGAAAGCTCATAACTTCTTAGTCAGGATGTAGTTGTATTTGATTTTGGCAAAGAGAGCTTCCTGAAACACGTATAGCGGACAAGTAGCCTAACGCTGATATTAATAGTCAAGAAGTTAGACTTGTCACGGTTTCGAGAAACGGGCCCCAGGTTTCTTTGCGTCCATTAACAATATTCTGTTATCACGGCCAGGCATCATCTGAATCGTCGTCGGAATTGTCGTCAGAACAGCTGCGGCACTTGTGCGAGATTTTTAGGAACATCTCCTCGATATTACGATACGTGATCGCCCAAATGAAGCCTTCCAGAGGCATCACGAGGCTAAATATAGTCAATATTCCATGCACGTCTTTCAAGGTCTCTTCGTTCCCGGCGAGGTACGTCTCTGAGAGCTGGCTGGCGATGTAGACATTCGGCATACCGACGGCGAGCGAGACCGCGCAGCAGACATTGAACGGGAGACTGGCGAAGAGAGCAAAGACGATCCCGCATACAAAGCCGATCGGTGGTAACGATATGGTTCCGACCCAGATGCGCCAGTCGACCATGTAATATTCGGGGTTGGTGATGCCATTTAGGACAGGGGTGATGACGGCGGCGATCCAGAAGGCATTGCTGCAGATCTGAGAGAAAGAAGATGGGGAGGTGCAAGAGAGAGAGAGAGAGAAAAAAAAACGGTGAGACATTGGAATCCAGAGATTGATAGATAGATAGAGAGAGACGGATCGAGACAGAGAGAGAGACGTATCGAGACAGAGAGAGAGAAAAAAAAGAGATAGAGAAAGACTAGTATACAATTTCAGAGACGGATCAAAGGCATAAATCACTTTGAACTGTAAGAAAAAAAGGTGCTCTGTGAAATACCTTTTCGGCTAGATATTGGGAAGAGGAAATGCAATGTGTAATATAAATGGGTATATGCAGGAACAAGGTTGTCGATTTGTATCCGTGGTTGGGGGGATGATAGGTGCCAAAATATTTTCGGCAATGGATCAAAGCAACCAAGAGGTAGAAGCGTGTGGCAAGTTGCACCCCATCCCAAGCGCGTAGCCAAAATTTCATTTTAGGGGGGGGGGGCGGTAGTGAGCACGCGAAACGTGCGAAGCGAGCTCCCTAGGGGATAGGGTGCAGGGAGCGGGAGTCCCCCCCCCCCCTCCCCCGCAAAGCGCGGAAGCTTTGGCGTTTCACTAAATTATTAGAGAAAGAAGACGATTCGTTGGACCGTTCTCGACTCTTAATCCTTGTTTGAATCAAGTTCCCCTTCTCCACGCGTAGCGCGGAAGCTCTGACGTTTCATAAGATTAATAAAGAAAGAAGAAGATTCGATGTACCATTCTCGACTCTTAATCCTTGTCTGAATTCATTTTTGTCTATTCCTGCGCGAGCGCGGAAGCTTTCACATTTTATTACATTATTAGAGAAAGAAGACGATTTGTTGGACCATTCTCGACTCTTAATCCTTGTTTGAATCAAGTTCCCCTTCCTCTGCGCTGACGTTTCATAAGATTATTAAAGAAAGAAGAAGATTCGATGTACCATTCTCGACTCTTGATCCTTATTATTTGAATCAAGTTCCCCTTCCTCTGCGCTGATGTTTCATAAGATTATTAAAGAAAGAAGACGATTCGATGTAGCATTCTCGACTCTTAATCCTTGTCTGAAATTCATTTTTGTCAATTCCTGCGCGAGCGTGGAAGCTTACACATTTTATTACATTATTAGAGAAAGAAGACGATTTGTTGTATCGTGTCCTTCATGAATTCACTCCCCCCCCCCTACCGCGCGGAAGCTTTGACGTTTCAATAAATTATTACTCTTAATCCTTGTCTGTATTCATTTTTCGCCCATCCCGCGCGAAGCGCGGAAGCTTTACCGTTTCTTTAAATTATTAGAGAAGAAAGACGATTCGTTGTATCGTGTCCTTGTCTGAATTCAGTTTCCCCCCTCCCGCGCGAAGCGTGGAAGCATTGACGTTTCATTTGACTATTATTCTTAATCCACGTCTGAAATCTTTTTCGCCCATCCCGCACTATACGCGCGGAAGCTTTCATAAGTAGATAAGTGATAGGTAGGCCTATGTAAGTCTATAAAATGATTAATGTGCATACATTAGGTTCATTCTACCTTCAGATTAGTGGAACTATTAAAGTTACAGTATTAGATGGACATTTACACTAATGTTCTTCTCTTTAAAAAAGAAAAAAATTGCCGATTTCTGACCGTTTTGGGACGCCGATAAAATAAGAGAAAATGTTCTTGTTGAAACAATATAAAACCCAAACTGGCTACTTTTTGAAGAATACTTAGCGACATGACTGTTTGCGATTACTTACCGAATTTAGGTGAAGAAAAAAGATCATGAGGCAAGTTCAGTAACGGGTGACGAATAGATCACACCATTATTTCTGAAGGTCCTTAATTACCAAAGGTTCTTGAAAATTTGGAACACGTTCAACATATTTTCTTCGTTAGTTCGGCGAACGTTAGATGAAGAATGGCGTATTGAATTTCAATAGAATATTGGTGATTCCAGCAATTCGCTGCTTTCGCCCACTGTTCCTATTGCAATGAGATGCCCTTTTTAAAAAAACGGTTGTATACCCCCTGTCCCTTTCTTCATCAGCTTTAAGTGTGACTAAAAGCAAGTTCAGGTTCTGTCCGTTTTTATATATGTGTTATTCTTCAATCATGTCTGTCCTTCCTTATTTACACGCATCCAAAACAGATCGCGCGATCCCCCAAAATACACCCGAGTGTGAGAATAAAAGGTAATGAAGGACTGTGCCCGTTTTAGCATTGGGGGTGTGCTATTTTCTCAGCTGATCATGATTGGGGGCGCGCGACCCGGAAACAGTCCATGCATGCAAATGGACTAGGTTCACGTCATATTGCTCCGATTGTCTCATTTTCGCTCTCGTGAACATTGCCAGCACAAACCACTGACCTCTACCTCCTGAACGGATCATCGCCCATTCCCATTCAATATACGTTACGTACTAAAAGGCTGTATTGTCTGACCGTTCATGAATATTCATGTTTTTGCTAAACTCGGCAAAATGTTTGCTTTTACTAAATGGAAAAAAATTACGGTGGGGGGTTGGATGAAATGGACATAATGAAATAGGTAGAAGTGATCTATGATAATTCATGCTTTTTATGTTTCGTGTGCTCGACCTATAAACTTCAAATCGCTTGGTAAACTGAGTCCAAAGTTAGACTTGTTTCACATGTGTATTATAGGCAATGACGAGCTTGTAACCTATTTTGAAAAATTACGGTGGGTGAACTTTCAAAAGTCAATGAGACATGAGGGCTCCGATGAAAGAGCTAGTGATAACGTACGTCTGGGTGGATGTGCTTTTCGTTTAAACAAAAAATGAATTTTTAACGATTTTAAAAAAAAACGTCCATAGGCTAACATGTTAGGCTGCTGAATCTGATCATGCTCTGACGATAGGGGGCGTTGTGAAATGAGACTAAACGGAGCCATATGTACAAGCCTACCTTGGCCACTAGCCTTCCTTTGAGTTTCCCGTAGGTCTTCTGGTACAGCACACCCAGGACAGTAGGAATGATTATCAAAAACTCGGTCATGACAATGTTGAAGGGTATGGCGACGACGAAATACTCATGTGTCCAGTTACTGGCATAGGAGGAGAACCACAACGGGATGAGTCCGACGGAGAGGGCGGTAGAGAACATGGCCATACACATCCTGTACGCGAAGCGGACACAAAGGGAAAATTAGTTGAATTTCTTTATTGTCATGCACAAATAAAAAAAAAAAAAGGCATAAAGATAATTTTACGACTCACATTTGTATAAAATATAACAATAGATTAACATATCATAAACAAATAACTACACATAACATAAATAAAATAACAGTGTAATATAATTTCATCTCTCTGTTGAGAGCCAGAGGAAATATTTGTAGTATTTGTACTCCCCTCTCTCCCAGCAGACAAAACTAACTTGAATATATTCTAGAAAATGTACATGCCAACAATCAATGACCTATGAATATAGCAAATCACAGCCAAGATGTAAAGTGAATTCTATATCAATGATTACAAATTATGATAAATGCATTTTTGTTTAATAGCAGACATAAACTAACCGTATATCATACTGGATATCAAAGAGGAGAGACAAGAGAGAAAGAGAGAGAGAGAGAGAGAGAGAGAGACGAAGGGACAGAGAGAGAGAGAGAGAGAGAAAGAGTGAGAGGGAGAAAGGAAGATATGAAAAGTTTAGCGTGAGATGATGCATATACAATTTCATTCAAAACATTGCTTTGTAATAGACATTATTGTTATTGCACCTGTGCTTAGTACCGTTACATAACATATGAAACACTATTATATGCATGCCAAAAGACAATTAGTAGGCTATAATATAATATTCGAAGCGATCAAGGCATCGATCGAAACGATCGCCAAGTTTATGACAATGACGCTGTATTGATATTTAGCCCGTAATGGAAATAATGGGCAAGAACCCATATCCTGATGATAATTGAATGTTTTGATTGAAGTTTTAATAAAAGCTTGGGATTAGTGTGTAAATGACCGGGTTCTCATATATAACGACATACAGGGGGGGGGGGTGCCGCTCTAATGGGTCACTCTTTCACAAAAATCTCTAAACATGGGTCCCACTTTTAACAAGAATGATATTAAAAATGGGTCCGTTTTTTCAAAATTTCAAAAAAAATTGCAAATTCGAAAAACAACCGCAATTTGTGACCGCCAAAAATGGTAAGGGGTTTCGAGGCTTGAGCGGCACACCCAGTTAAAACCAAATCTGAGTATACAATTATAATATTATCGCTGAAAGGATATTGTAGCCATGGATTTTTTTTCTTTTTATAAAATCTTTTTATAAAACTCCGAATATCATAAATATTGGGATCAAGGAAAAGATTGGGAAAGATTTTTTTTTTTTTTTACGAACCCGACAATGACGACGCCGTCGCCGTAGTAGACGAGGACGGCACACAAAGGCGATACCGGGGAGCATGCCAACATGATCATAGCCACAGCCTCGCTGGCAGACATGTCGAGGAGGAGTGCGAGCCCGTAGCCGATGACGGGCTGGAATAGGGACTGGAAGGTGAGTCCGATGACGACGCTCTTGGAAAGATGCGTATCCCTATCTGAGAAGTCTTTGATCGAGATGACGCAACCCATGCCGAAGAGCGCAACGAAAATGCTTGCGCTGCTGATGTAGAATCGGGCTGACGCAAGGGACGATACCAAGGCCTATATTTGGGAGAGGGAGGAAATGAGGGACAATTGTGCTTTGCGTCAAAGATGTGGGCCCGAATTCACAAAGGAGGTTTGTCGACAAACCTAGGTTTATGTGCGTCATATGACGCGTTTCGATGCGTTTCAGACCAAGGTTCAGACTTGGTGTGAAACGCGTCATATGACGCACATAAATCTAGTATTTGGTGAATTCGGGCCGTGATATTTGCTTATCGAAATTCATACAACAAAATATACTACATGATACTTCTTCATGAATAGTAACAAAGTTGCAAGAGTGAAACAGTCACTTAGGCCGAAAGGACGGTTATATAGGGAAATTAAATCCCATACCCAGGTGCGGCGATCCGGGGGGAGGGGACACGCCCCCTCAATTTTCTTAGGGGGGGGGGGGGGTCGTCCCCTCTGGAAAATTTGAAAGAGTGCAAAAAAAATGTATAGCAAATACCGACTTAAGAATATAACACACATTTAGGCTCTGGAGGGTTCAAGAGTGTAGGTGTTTAGACTAACAGAAATACACAAATCTCCTCGCTTGGTCGCTAGCCTCCCTCGCATAATATCCTTCAAAATGTACAAGTAAATGTTGTAGAAAATCTGTAGTCCGTTGGTATCACGTAGTTAGTTTACATTGCATGTTTGCAAGTAATATATCAGTGCTACAAAAATGGATATTCCGCTTGCTCTTTTCAGTAAGGAGTCCCTACAACATTTATATATATGTATATATATATATATATATATATATATATATATATATATATATATTTGCCAGGCTGATATTTACCATTTCAACTCATAGCGATATCACTATAATTATGACGAAGGCCTAGAGTGGGAAATAGAAATCCCATCCATGTCCAAGCTCTCTGCTTATTAACATTACCCACTAAACTAATATTTACAAGTCACAACCCTTCGGACTGCACACTAATTACCGGCAAAGTAAAAGTGAAGAGTTAAAAATGGTCTATTGCTTGGTTTTATACTATAGCTTTGCTAAGGAGTGTAATTTCGTGATACAACAACGGTTTAAAAACCTGTGAGGGGGTAGTCACTGCGGTCACTTTGGCCCTTTCGTTCTCTATGCTCCCTCGCCCCTCGCATTGGCGTACTGATGGGGGCATTGGGGCAGTTGCCCCCCTCCCCTAATAAAATTCAAGCATTTTTCTCACTTTTTTTGTAAATTCTACTTTTTTATGCGTTTATGGAAAATGAAAAATTCCCAATTTTACAGTCAGGCAAAAAATATGCTCATTTAGAAGCCGTTCAGGGATTTTCAGAAAGCATGATTTTGGCAAAACTGCAGAGGGATTGTGTATAGTGGATACGTCTCGGGACTGTAAATGTACGGAGTACGAATCCCTAGCAGACATATATCTATATTTGTCACTCTAGACTCACTTAGCGCTATTTTCGCCGGAGCTATACCCGGGGTTATATAATATCCAAAGTCCTTATCAAAATGTAACCTCATGAAATTATAAAGACGTTATATCACAATGCGTTATAATTGCGCTGTACAATTAGGACCGAATAAAATATTGTAATAATCAATCCACCTTAAACATTTTTAATTTTGTGCAACACAATTCGGTACAATGGTCTGAAAATCATTACTATTACTTTTAATACTGACTTGGTAGAAGTCGATTTGACAACTAATAGTCGTTATTTTTTTTTTATTATTTTTTTTTTTGTAAAATGAATTTATTGGTAAATATATGCATTTGACCAAATCAAACAATCATAAACAATCAATTAAAATAACATCGTAGCATCTTAACATAGTTCAATCCACCTTAAAACATGCTTCCGATTCTTCTTGACCCCTCACCCTCTCATCCGCCCTTTTTGTTGACAAAATCCTGTATCCGCCCTGAAAGACTTACCTGATGACCAGTTTCTTGGGCTTCCTCCAGAGAAACACTGTTGGTCAAGTTTGAGTGAATGACCTCCATAATGATCAGAAAGAAACCAATTCAACGTCACAATCTGTGGAAAAGCAGAACAATGTTATTTGAACGAATTATGATGACAATAATATCGATTGTAATTATAGACAAACGAACCTATACCCTATATGTTAAATACAATCAGTATAAAATGTTGTACTCAAAGAGATTTCATTAATTCATTTGATAATGTGTAATAATTAGATTGTAGCACGTTGTTATTCATATATTTATCTATCATATTCCAAAGTTTCTTTTACTTGTGTACATTGTTTCTGCCATTGTTTTCTTCCTGTTTGTATTTTTATATTTATTTTAATCCAACCACACGTTTTGGTTCCAATAAATAAATAATTGAACAAAAATATTTTATTAACATACACCCCACCCCTCCAACAGGCAGGTAAGTTTTGTTGATCCCTAACGGAAAAGGAGGAGGAAGAACAAGAACAAGAAGAAGAACAATAACAAGAAGAACAAGAAAAGATGAACAACAAGAAATCCCAATCTTTGCATGAGCAGACAAAGTTTATTTTTAAATTTGATACTGTAACATTAGCATAATTATAGAAGTGATGTTTATTACCATAGTCCATTGTGCTATAAGTTTGTTTTGTATATAAGGCAATCAAGGAGCTTTCAATATATCTATTACCTCTAGCCGCCCCCCCCCCCCCACACTGCCCTAATGGTCAGAGGACTCTTGACCTGTCACCGGAGTCCGATATAAAAATGTCCGGTTAAAAGTCCGCAGGGTAGTCCCGTGATACCAGCACATTTCAGCTATTCAATCAGTACAAACCCCATATAACAGTTAGTAATCTAATGTCGTTTATTCAAGGATTAATAAGGCCTATTATTGACACAGTATTTTATTCACGTAATGAGCCATAAAGCAGGATGTTGCAGTGTTGTTGATTCTAAACGCAATATACCGATAACAATATTTGCATATACCCGACGTGCTTATCATCACGATCATTATACGGTGTTATATTCTATTGATAATAAACAGGGCTGAGAGAGAAATAAAGAAGATACCGACGATGTTCATGATTTGATTTTTTTTGTCTTTGATGATGATAACTTCGATGATGGTCATGTTGATGATCATAACAATAATTATAGTCGTATAGTCACTGGATGTTATCCCATTTACTCTATTGATTTCAACAATATTTCCAAGATTTGGTTTTATAGAGATTATTAGATTACGTTTTAATATTTTGTTTTATTAGTCAATTTAATCCATTGGAACTGTTATATAGCTGGGGCCTGAACAACAAGAAAAACAACAAGAAGAAGAACAAGAAGAAGAACAAGAAGAAGAACAAGAAGAAGAACAAGAAGAAGAACAAGAAGAACAAAAAGAAGAAGAACAACAAGAACAACAAGAAGAACAAGAAGAAGAACAAGAAGAACAAGAAGAAGAACAAGAAGAAGAACAAGAGGAGAAGAACAAGAAGAAGAACAAGAGGAGAAGAACAAGAAGAAGAACAAGAAGAAGAACAAGAAGAGAAGAAGAAGAACAAGAAGAAGAACAAGAAGAAGAACAAGAAAAAGTACAAGAAGAACAAGAAGAAGAACAAGAAGAAGAACAAGAAGAAGAACAAGAGGAGAAGAACAAGAAGAAGAACAAGAGGAGAAGAACAAGAAGAAGAACAAGAAGAAGAACAAGAAGAAGAACAAGAAGAAGAACAAGAGGAGAAGAACAAGAAGAAGAACAAGAGGAGAAGAACAAGAAGAAGAACAAGAAGAAGAACAAGAAGAGAAGAAGAAGAACAAGAAGAAGAACAAGAAGAAGAACAAGAAGAAGAACAAGAAGAAGAACAAGAAGAAGAACAAGAAGAAGAACAAGAGGAGAAGAACAAGAAGAAGAACAAGAGGAGAAGAACAAGAAGAAGAACAAGAAGAAGAACAAGAAGAGAAGAAGAAGAACAAGAAGAAGAACAAGAAGAAGAACAAGAAAAAGTACAAGAAGAACAAGAAGAAGAACAAGAAGAAGAACAAGAAGAAGAACAAGAGGAGAAGAACAAGAAGAAGAACAAGAGGAGAAGAACAAGAAGAAGAACAAGAAGAAGAACAAGAAGAAGAACAAGAGGAGAAGAACAAGAAGAAGAACAAGAGGAGAAGAACAAGAAGAAGAACAAGAAGAAGAACAAGAAGAAGAACAAGAAGAAGAACAAGAGGAGAAGAACAAGAAGAAGAACAAGAGGAGAAGAACAAGAAGAAGAACAAGAAGAAGAACAAGAAGAGAAGAAGAAGAACAAGAAGAAGAACAAGAAGAAGAACAAGAAAAAGTACAAGAAGAACAAGAAGAAGAACAAGAAGAAGAACAAGAAGAAGAACAAGAGGAGAAGAACAAGAAGAAGAACAAGAGGAGAAGAACAAGAAGAAGAACAAGAAGAAGAACAAGAGGAGAAGAACAAGAGGAGAAGAATAAGAAGAAGAACAAGAAGAAGAACAAGAAGAGAAGAAGAAGAACAAGAAGAAGAACAAGAAGAAGAACAAGAAAAAGTACAAGAAGAAGTACAAGAAGAAGAACACCAAGAAGTACAAGTAGAAGTACAAGAGGAGAAGAACAAGAAGAAGAACAAGAGGAGAAGAACAAGAAGAAGAACAAGAAGAAGAACAAGAAGAGAAGAAGAAGAACAAGAAGAAGAACAAGAAGAAGAACAAGAAGAAGACAAAAACAAGAACAAGAAGAAATCCCAATCTTTGCATGAGCAGACAAAGTTCATTTTAAAATTGAATACAGTAGTATATAGAATTGATGTTTATTACCATAGTCCATTGTATTATAAGTTTTGTATATAAGGCAATCAAGGAGCTTTCAATATATCTATTACCTCTAGCCCCACCCCCACCATACTATAGGCGGCCAAAAGGGCCAGAACTAATAAAATAAAATAAACAAACAATGATAGAAATAAACAAAGATTCAGAAATAGACATGGAGATAATGCAAAATTAAAGACAACCTCACAATTTAAGATCACTACAAAAATAAATCAACTTTCGAAATAAATATAACACAGGAATAAAGACAACTTCAGAATTAAAAATAACTGCAAAAATAAGGACAACCTCCGAATCATAAAGAAAACTTCGGACATGAAGATGTCTGCAGAAATAAAGACAAACACAGAATTAAAGATAAATGCAGAAATAAAGACAAAACCACAGAATTAAAGATAACTGTAGAAATAAAGACAACGACAGAATTATAAAGAAAGCTTCGGAGATAAAGATATCTGCAGAAATAAAGATAACTACAGAATTAAAGATAACTGCAGAAATAAGGACGACCACAGAATTGAAGAAAGCTTCGGAGATCTAAAAGACAACCACGGTACGTGAAGAAAGCTTCGGAGACAAAGACAACCACAGAACGGAAGTTTAGAAACTAGGTAGATAACGACTGAAATTAAGTCTACTATAGAAACGATATGTCCGCTCCTAAAATTATACTACCAACTACAAATACATGATCAAAAACGCAAACAAACTGACAATAAGAGGACGAGTGAGGGTGTCCTAACGCAAAAATTAACCGAGAACGATATTACCTACTTCGTTGTGATGGGCAGGAATGTTTGAGGGTGATGAGGAGAGGAAGGGCATAGTCATGTAGATTGGATAGTTAGGGGCTAGTGGTGGGAGGGGGGGGGGGGTTGGGAAGGGGGTGTTAACGGGATATTAAGGAGTGTATACCTACTTCATTTTAAGGGGATTTATTAATTATGGACAGTGGACAAGATTGTCTGAGAGTGAGAAGAGGGAGGGCATAGTCATAATGTTGATTTGATGGTTAGGGGCTAGTGGTGGTGGGGGGGGGGGGGGGGGGGCAGGGAATGGGCCTTAATCGAAAAATAAATGAGTGTATACTACCTACTTCGTTTTAAGGGTCTTTATTAATTATGAACAGTGGGCAGGAATATTCATGAAGCTTGGATTATAAGGGGCTAGTGGTGGAGGCGGTGGGGGGGGGGGGGGCAGGAACGGGACGAACAGGGGATTTAAATGAGTGTATATTACCTGTTTCGTTTTAAAGGTAATACAAAATTTTGGGAATTTTTGAAAATTGGGTGGATAATGATTCTTTACAAGATAGTGAGCAACAAAAAAAAAATTGGCCCTCGAAAATTTAAAAAGTTGCACCCCCACCCCCCCCCCCCTTGAGCGCCAGGGGGGGGGGGCATCTCCAAAAAAGGGTAAAATTAACGTTAACAAATGTAAAAATAGACATTTTTTCCAGGCCCCCCCCCCCCTGGCCGCAAGAGCAAGCGCGGATCCAGGTGGACCAAGCGGGCCTTGCTCCCACCCCCCCCCCCCCCCAAACAAAAAGAGAGAGAAGAAAAAGAAGGGAAACGGAAAGAGGAAAAAAAAGGGAAAGAAAAAAGAGGAAGAAGAAAAGAAAAGGGGAGAAAGAAGGAGATCAGGGGGGCGTAAAGGCCATGCCTCCTAGGCTGTTGCCTCCCCCCCCCCCAATCAAAAAAAATAAGAGAGAAGGAAGGAAAGGGGAAAAAAAGGAAAAGAGAATATAAAGGGAAAGAAGAAAAAAAGAGAAAGAAGAAAGGTAGGGGAGATCGGCTTACACCGAAAGGGTGCGGTGCGGTGCGGCGCGGTGTGGTGAGTTCAACGCACCCAAGCGATAAAAGCCCCCCCCCCCGCTTTTCTCGAAAGGGTGCGTTGAGAACGGAGTACCGTCTTAACACACCCTTTCGAGAAAAGAGGGGGGTCTTTTCTCGAAAGGGTGCGTCGACTAGTCTTTCACATCAGTCGTTTAAAATGTTTAAGGAATATAAATGTCGTTTTATAAATTGAAATAATCAAAATTGAAACTTATTTTGCGTAGTCTTGCAGATCAGGCATTTATAAGAATTAAATCAGTAAATAAAAAGAAACACAACGAAATAATTAACTTAGATATTTAAAAAATGACAAATATAGGTGTTTAGCTAGTCTTGCATATCAGTCATTGATTTATTGAAATAAAAAATAATATTCATTTCTTTTTTTGTATGGAATTCAGTTTTT